TGATTTGATACAGATTATGGACTTCAAGTAGGAAGACTTCGGAGTTGCATCTTGTCCTCTCAGTACACTGGGCTTTTTATTTTAGAAATAACCTGTGGCTGAGATGGGAGAAAATGGAGACATGGCAAGGTTCAAATCGTTGGTCTGCACTTGCTATGGGCCTCTCTGGACTGCATTTTCTTTATCTGTACAGGAGGAGCAGGCTGAACTCAGTGCACAGTACCACCCATGTCTGCTCTGTACCCTAGCACTCCATCAAGCCAGCCCCTCTCAGACTCCCTAAGCTGTTAATGAGATGACGGAGTGGGCCCGGAGGGGAAACCCAGGGCAAGGATGCAGAACTTTCCCCACACTCTGCAATCCTGGCAGAGCTGAGCCCTGGCAGCCCCGGCCAGCGCTACCCTTAGTCTTCTGAGCACACGTGGGAGGTGCTGCCAGTCGGGGAATAGCAGCTTGTCCTCATGGGTCCCTGCCCACTGGAGCGGCTCCAGGAGTCCTCACTGACCCGAGGAGAAGGAAGGCTGCTGAGGAAGGCCATTTCTGGGCAAAACGAGAAAGGAGGCATCCTGAATACCACCTCCCACCACCCGCCCCAGCTATGCTGTGCAAATGTCACAGTGTTTTCTATTTTGCAACTGCTGGGGTTGGAACCCAGGCTTCATGCGTGCTAGGAAAGCACTCTACCCCTGGGCTACAGCCCAGCCCTAAATGGTTAGATTTATCCTTTCAAATTAAGATGGTGACATGGTTTCAGATGTGCCACGTGCTAGGAAAGCACTCTACCCCTGGGCTACAGCCCAGCCCTAAATGTTTGGTTAGATTTATCCTTTCAAATTAAGATGGTGACATGGTTTCAGATGTGCCAAGAAAAGATGTAATTAACACCCATGTACCCACTTTTCAGCCCCACTGACCTCTGTGTTGCTCTCTGAACTTTCCAGAAATATGTATTGCTTGGTTTTCACTACCCTCCTGCTGACGCCTCTCTGTTTGGGACAGGGTTTCCTGTAGCCCTGGTTGGCTTTGAACTCATTATGTAGTCAAGAATGGTCTTCAACTCCTGATCCTCCTGCCTCTACCTTTGAGTGCTAGGACTACAGGTGTGCCATCACACCAGGCTGTTTCCATCAATCTCTTGAGCAGAGAGCAGAGCCAGGCAACCAACCACTTAGGCGGTTCGTGGAAAATGGCTTCTGCTTCATTCCCAAACCAAGGAGATCCACATGTCATAAGTGGCCACTTCCTGTCTACCTGTACCACCTTGGATGCTGGGGACATCCTAGGCAGTAGCTCTGCCAGAGGCTGGCCTCGGGGGCCTGGGGACCTTGGTTTTGGGGTGGCTTTGGGTTCAGGGCCGAACTGTGTCCTATTCTCAGGATAAGGAAGAAAGATGATGACTTCCACGCGGCCTGTCATGAGTCTTCAGGAAGTGGCTTTGCTGTTCTCTTCCATTACTCCACTGAACTGACCAACTTTCTTCCCTGGATCCCCACAGAGGAATTCCCTCCTTGAACCCTTGTCTTGTTCTTGGACAGAAGCAGGTTACAAAAGGGAGGACTTATTTGGGCTCCCAGTTTGAGGGTACAGTCCATCATGCTGGGGAAGCCCTGGCAGGCAGGGGTGTGAGGCAGCTGATTGCACTTCCCCTATAGTCAAAGCAGAGCGATGAACACTGGTGCTCAGCTCCATTTCTCTCCTCCATTCGGTCAGGATCCCAGCCTTGGGAACAGCACTGCTCACAATTCAGCAAGGTCTTTCACCTTAATTCACCTAATTTAGATAATCTCCCACAGGCAAGCCCAGAAGTTTGTCTTCTTGGCGAGTCTAGGTCCAGAAAGCCAGGAAGGGCACACACTGTAGTCTAGAAGATAACCTAGCAGGACACTGAAATGATGCCAAATTGACAAGTATTTCTTTTTAAAATAAATTTATTATTTTTATTTTATGTGTATGCATGTATCGCCTGCATGTGTGTAAGTGTACCCGTGTTATACAATGCCCATGGAGGTCAGAAGAAGGCATTAAATCCCATGGAACTGGAGTTATGGATGGTTGATAGCCACCATGTGGGTGCTAGGATTCAAACAGGGGTCCTTTGTAAGAATAGTCTGTGCTTTTAACTGCTGACCCATCTCTCCAGCCCCAAGTATTTCTTTTTTAAATAAATTCTTTTTTGTTTATTTGTTTTTGTTTTTTGAGACAGGGTCTCCCTGTAACCCCAGCTGGCCTGGAATTCACCATGTAGACCAGGCTGGCCTCGAACTCACAGAGATTCTCCTGCCTCTGCCTCCCAAGTGCTAGGACCAAAGGTGTGTGCTACCACGCCCAGCTTGACAAGTGCTTTTTAGAGCAAGAAGTAAACAATTAACCATTAATATTCCATATTAACCATCAAAGAAAACTGATATATTGTGCTTCATTTAAACTGACAATACCTGCTCATTAAAGATTCCATTAAGAGAGCTGGACAGATGGCTCAGTGGTTAAGAGCACTGGCTGCTCTTGCAGAGGAAGGAAATTGAGTTCCCAGCACCCACTGGCAGCTAACAGCCGTTGTAAACTCCAGTTCCAGGGGATCCGACACCCTCTTCTGGCCTCTGTGGGCATTGCACACACACAGTGCACTTTCATACATGCAGGCAAAACAACTTATACACATAAAAAATAAAAATCAATGAAAAAAAGATTCCATTAAGGAAGCAGAAAGGTGAGCCATCGGGCAAAGGGAGATCCTGCTAATGTGTATCGTCAATATGTAAAGAGTTCCCACACATTAAAAAATATTTTATTTATTTCTATTTTATGTGTATAAGTGTATTGCCTGCATGTATGTAAGTGCACCTGTGTCATACAGTGCCTGCAGAGGACAGAAGAGGGCCCTGAATTCCCCTGGAGCTGGAGTTACAGATAGTTGTTAACCATGGCATTGCATGACGTGGGTACACTTGTATGCGTGGAGGCAATATAGTCATAAAATAAGTAAATAAAAAAAGAAAAATAATAGTTTAAAAAAGAGGCTAGGAGGCTGGAGAGATGGCTCTGTGGTTAAGAGCGCTGACTGCTCTTGCAGAGGACTCAGGTTCGATTCCCAGCACTGACATGGCGGCTATGAACTGTCCTTAACGCCAGTTCCAGGGTAATCCGAACCCTCTTCTGACCTCTATGGCATTGCACGACACGGGTGCACTCACATACATGCAGGCAATACACTAATACACATAAAATAAAAATAATAAATAAAATATTTTTAAAAGAGGCTGATTGTAAGAATGACATACATATGCATAGTAAAACCCATTATTTTATACACTATTTTTAAAAACTTTTACAAAAACTTTATTGAGAATTTCATACATGTGTATAAGGTGTTTTGTTCAAATCCATGCCCACTTCCTCCCCTCCAACATTCCCCCCTCTGAAGAGGTAACCCTAAAATCTTTTAAGGATTAGATACAAGCTCCCAAATACTTTTGACATTTTTGGCCTTTGGAACAGAGTATGTTGCTAACAAGCCCAAGGACATTTTGACTTTTAGCCAAGAAACTGGCTACATTTCTTTGGGGTCTTTTTACCCTAACTGCCTAACCAATTCCCTACCTCCTATTCTTATCACACCATCCTCTTTGCCAATAGGGAATAAGGATGCAGACTGCTCTGGCTTCCATGCCGAACAGGGATGCAGGGTGAGGCAATTGGAGTACCCCTTCAGTGGGTCTATCTAAAAGACTCCCAAATTGCATAACTCTTGTCTCTAAGGGGAAAAGAAAGTCCTTGAATCATGAATAGGAGATGTGAAGGAGAAGTAAAGGCAAGAGTAATTATAGCATTACAAGTTCTAGACAGGGAACTAGAAAAAAGAACGGCAATTTTCTAATGTTCATATGAGAGTCCATTGGAGTTTCTTGACAAGGGCTCCCAAAAGCATCCCTCTATTGGGTTCCTCCTCATTTTTCTTTTGTCTTCCAAGGCTGGACTAGTTGTCTGGGAAGAGTGGCTGGATACTCAGGTGAGGGTCCAGTGATCCTGCTTGGCACGCCTTTAATGAATGAGCACAATCTTCAACAAGCACAATTGTGACTATGTTTAGCAATCAGGCTCAGCCTAAGTCGTGATGATAGTAGTTATTTCATGCAGAAGGGACTGCTGTATAGCATCATCTTATTAAAAGGAGCTGGAACTTAAAAGGATTTGGTGCTAGGAGCCACATAGGAGGGAGAACATACATCATTTGTTTTTCTGAGTCTGTTACTTCACTTAGCATAACAGTTTCTAGATCCATCCATTTACCTGCAAATTTCATTATTTCATCTTTCTTTACTGCTGAATAGAACTCCATTGTACACTATTTTTTTTAAAGTCAGTTGTAAGAGAGTAAACTGAGTAGTTCAACAAATGGCAAATTCAAAGAGGAGACAAAACTATTTGATATAGAGGTTGGGTTAGTGGTACTGTCTAGAAGGGTGTGTGGAATGCACCAGGCATTGCAGAGGTCCTGCTTACGGACCTGGGTGCAGATGCTGATGTGGATGCTGACGTGCAAGTGATGCAGATACTGATGCAATGCATCTGTCCTGGATCTGAGTACTTTTCTGTCTTGGTATGTTAGACTTCAACCTGTAATTTCATCGGATGTTCCTATAGTTGAGCTTGTCCCAGGGATTGGGTGGGAAGTATGTCAGTCCAATGGAGGGGGATGTTGGGTGTGACCCACTGGAGCCATGGGCTGATGGCTTGAAGGTAGCAGAGAGAACTGGCTGGTGGATGGGACTGTCTGTGAGCAGAGGGCTCTGAGACTCCAGGCATTCCTCTTGAACTTGAGCTGCCATTAGTCCAGTGGGGAGATGTGGAGTCAGGCATTCTTTCCCTGATTTCTAGGACACCAGCCAGGGTGCAGCCTCACTTTGACAGCAGGTGGACACCAGTCCTCCTGGACTGCAGGGTAGGAGTGAGGATGGAGGTTTGGGACTGGCCTTGTCTCACTAGGATCCTTGTCTCTCTAGGATCGACTCCTCAAGACCCCCTGTTCTGGAGACCCCAGCTACTACCCAGGTGAGGCTGTTGGGAGCTGCTGTTACCGCTGTCCCTCAGGTGAGTGGGGTGCTGGGGGCAGGACAAGTGGGATCTTCATCTTGATATTAAGACCCTCAGGAGGGACTGATGAGTGGGGTAATGGGAGCCAACAGTCACCATCATGGTGGTCTACAGTATTTTGAGGGCCATTCATAACATCACAGGATTTGGGGAAGGGCAGGGTGCTGGAACAGGTCAGGTCTGTTGCTTGTGCAAGGAAGCAAGATCGTTTCAACTTGGAGGTGCTGGTCAGAACTCTTGCCATGAGTACTCTGTCTGTGACTCTGTCATGCCTTTTCTTAGCTAACTAGTCCCTCACGATCCCTATGTTAAACATTGGTTTGGTTTTGCAGATGCAGCTGTTGGGGCTCAGCAGGGTTAAGTAACTTGCCCCGGGTCACAGAGTTGAGGCATGGTTGTGTTGGCTGGGGCTGAAGCCCAAGGCTTTGTGATCTCAGGGCCTCAATTGCCAGTATCTTCTTCAACCAACTGTCACTTCTGGGGCTTTGAGGCCCTTTGCAGCTCTCTCTCTCTCCCTCTCTCTCTCTCTCTCCCCCTCTCCCTCTCTTTTCTCCCCCTCCGCCCTTTGTTTTTGTGGTGCTGGGACTCAAACCCAGGGCTTCCCATTTGCTAGGCAAGTGCTCTACCACTGAGCTACATCCCCACCCATTTTTGCTTTTTAGTTTATGACAGGGTCTCACTAAGTTGCCCAGGCTGGCCTTGAACTCAATCTGTAGCCCAGGCTGGCCTTCATCTTGCAGTCCTCCTTAGGCTGGGACTGCAGGTCTGTGCTACCTTGTCCTGCCCTTCACAGCTCTTGTCTGCTGCAGGTTAGCAGGTGCTTGTTCTAGGGAGGCTTAGGTTGCAGCCTTCTAGGGGAACAGAGCTTGTCTGAGCAGAGCTGGCTTCCTGGAAAGCCCACCATCTCTAGTACAGTGTGACTTCTAGTAGAATATCAGGAAATTCTTCTGGAACATTCTTCAGGCCTGAAGAACACAAGAACAGGGTCATGAGGCATTTTGGTCGCCTGTGGTTATAATCAAAAGTCCCAAGCACATGTGGAGGTCATGGGTGGCTGGGACATGAGGTAACAGTACAGTGTGGTCACTGAGGGCCAGGAACATGTCTCCACTGAGGAAAGACATTACTTATGATAGACAGGGGGAGGAAGTCTCTGTGACTGGCTCACTGTAACTGACCGATTCCTGCTTGAAGACAGCAGGATATCAGAGATAGGACAGTGTCTGGAGGGCTTCCTGAGGGTGGGGAGTGTCAGGCCCACACACTCACTCTTGAACCCTCCCAGACATGCAGTCTGGACAGGCAGTGCTATACAAGGTCACAGGGGATGAGAGACTGGGGCTGGGTAAGATTTCTAGCCAGCGTTCTCTTAGCACTCCATGAAATGGGACTCCATGAAATGGGACTCCAGCCTTGCATAGGCAATGGACTCAAATTGTCCTTATGAATGGTCCTTTTTTTTTTTTTTTCGTCTTTTTGAGACAGGGTCTCCCTGTAGCCCCAGCTGGCCTGGAACTTGCTATGTAGACCAGGCTGGCCTTGAACTTACAGAGATCCACCTACCTTTGCCTCCTAAATGTTGGGATTAAAGGTGTGCACCACCATGTCTGGCCATGAATGGTCTTTTATGAGAACTTGGCAGGGTTTCATGCAGTCCAGGCTGGCTTTGAACTCCCCATCCTCCCACCTCTGCCTCCTAAATGCTGGGATTACCACACGGTGCCACCACACCCAGCTTCCCTTTTTTTAATGGACTTTGAGCCGCGCATCTGGTGGCTCACCTGCTGTATCCAGGACTCAGGACTTCAGTGGCCCTACCCCACTCCTTCTCCCAGCCCCCTCCCACTCTCTCCCCTGAAGCCTTTCCTCTTTTTCATCCTGGCTTGGTGGCCCAGGCTGCTGTGTAAGAGTCCTACAGACTGGGAGGCCCAAACAACAGCTCCTTGCTTTCTAGTTAGAGCCTGGAAGGCCCACGATCAAATTTCTGGCCCGATTAGTTGTTTTTGTGAAGGCTCTTGCTGGCTTGCAGTCTGGCAGGCGTCTTCCTATGGTGTGTGCCTGTCTCTTCTTAAAACCCTACCCCACATCCCATAGGATTAGGCTCCTGGTGGCCTCCTTTACCTCTAGTTGCTCCCTAACGTCTGTCTCTTCAAAATAGTTACGTGGAGGGTGAGGGTTTCATCATGCATTTGGGAGCACACAGTCTAGCTCAGAGCCTCATCTTCCCATCTCCTTCCATCAGACTCTCAACTATCCCCCTCCTCATCCTCTCTCTCCCTTCACCCAGCCATCCTTCAGTCACTTCTCCCTTCCAGCTTGAAGAGAGACTTCCATTAACCCATAAAGCAATTCTTGATTTGCAAACAAGCCTGTCCGAGACCCCAACCATAAATTTCTGCAAACGGGTCCTCCTGAGACCCTTATCTTATTGGGGGAGAATGCAGGCCACAGATTCTCTAAACCCCCGTGACTCTGTCTACCTACACAAAAATACTTAAGCTCCCCCCGCCATTTGGCTCACATGGCTACTGCAGAGTCCTGCTGGTCAGCAGTCCCTCCTTCACGGACTAATAAAGGTCAGCATGGATTCTATGAGGTTGGTTGCTTTTTTTTTTTTTCCCCTACCTGTGATTCTTTCAATTTCTAATCCTAACATTTACCTGGAGAGAGTTCTCACCAAGGAGAGTTAAAACTCCTACATTCCTGATAGCTCTTTCCTCCTTGGTACATTTTCAGGTGCCTAGGCCTTTGGATAGGTCTGTCCCTCTCTACTCTAGGTGTCCCCTACTGCCATCTCTACCTGCTGAAACCCTGGCACCCCTCCCTCTAAGAGCCTTTGCCTGTGCGCTGCAGAGGGCTGGCTCCTACATCTCTTTTCTCTGTGATGTGGTCACAGGGCTGTGACATTCCACAGAAGCCACAGTCCTGGCCACAGAGAGAAAGAAACAGTTTGCTTCTCGTCCAGTCTGTCCCCTCTGAACCCTGCCTTGACAGTGGAGGGGTGGTGGAAAGTGACACCCTCTGGCCCAGGCTTCCTTCCCTTAACAGCTGGGACTTAAAAAGAGGGAGTGCTCCCTCCCCCCACTTCCCCTGTCTAAGGCCTAGTGCTGAGGGTGGCTGAGCACCCCAGGCCTGTGGTGTGGTGGGAGGGGCATTTTGCTGGAGTTTTATTGACCCTGTGCTTCCGGGCAAGCCACAGAGGAAACCCCAAAAACCCCCTCCTTCCGTGTTTTGGGGAAATTTCTGACATTTTGCCTGCCCTCTCAATCAGCGCTCAGCTGTGTGGCAAGGTTCACGCGTGGGCAGGCTGGCAGACAAAGGAGTTGGGAGACCATTGAGTTTGAGATGTCCAATGTCTGTCCTCTGAAAATGCCTTTCAACACTCCTGATGGCCACTCCCCAGGCCTGTCCTTACATACTCTTGGTGACAGGGAACTCACTGCCTGACTCTTGATCATTGTACTGGAGACTCTAGACAGGATGCTGGACCCTTTTAAACCCTGACAGGAACCCAGAGAGAGAACCTGAACATGAAATAGTTCAGGGATTTGCTCATGGTTTCTTCCTAGTAAGCAGCTCAGCCAGGGCTGAAGTGAAGCGTCAGGAGCCCATCCCCCTTACTTAGTTTTCTGGACCCAATCTTTGCACAGGGTAGGGGTGGGGTACAAGGCAGGCTCTAGGGAAGGGCCTGGTGTCTCTTCCAGCTTCTGGTCATTTCCTAAAGAATGAACACTTTTCTTACATCTATCTATCTATCTATCTATCTATCTATCATCTATCTACCTATTATCCATCCATCTATCATCTATTTATCATCTATCAATCTATCTATCATCTATCTATCATCTGACATCTATCTATTATCTATTCATATGATCTATCTATCTATCATCTATCATCTACCTATCATCTCTATCTATCTATCTATCTACCTATCATCTATCTATCTATCTATCATCTATTATCTATCTATCTATCTATCATCTATCTATCTATCATCTATCAATCATCTATCTATCTATCTATCTATCTATCTATCTATCTATCTATCTTCTACCTATCATATCTATCTATCTATCATCTATCTATCTACCTATCTATCTTCTACCTATCATATCTATCTATTTATCATCTATCTATCTATCTATCTATCTATCTAATCTATCATTTGTGTGCCACATCATGCATGTGAAGGTCAGAAAACAGGAAACAGCTTGTGGGAACTGGTTTGCTTCTTCTACCACGTGGGTTCCAGGGCTTGAAATCAGGTCATTAGGCTTGGCAGCAAGTGCCTTCACCTGCTGCTGAGCTGTCTTGCTGGCCCTCTGGCTCTTTCTTTGCTAGTGGTAGCATACTTTCAATCTTCATATGGTTTTCTGTCTATACACAGGTTTGCCTGTGTCCCAGTGTCTCATAAAGACACCAGACAGACTGGCCCATCTCATGACCTCATTTTAACTCGATTAATTCTGTGAAGAATCTACTCTAAATAAGACCACATTCTGAGGTACTGGGGGTGAGGATTCCAGTGTGCCTTTTTCTGCATGTATGTATGCATAATTCAACCTACGACACCATTTGGGACATATGGGGGTGGGAGAGGAGTGAATGGAATGGTCTGGAGATGTAGCTCAGTTGGTAGAGTGCTTGTCTAGCATGCACGAAGGCCAGGATTCAGTTCCCAGCATTGCATAAACTAGGCATGGTGGTGCATGACTGTAACCCAGCATGTGGGAGATGGAGGCAGGAGGATCACTCAAGTCATCCTTGGCTACATAGTGAATTTGCAGCCAGCCTGGGCTACCTGAAACCCTATCTCTAAAGCCTGAACCCCAACCCTACCCCCTCCCTTGAAAAGAAAAAGAAATGGAGTGTTGGGCAAAATGAGCAGTGTTACATGCTAGAGCAGGACTTTGGAGCCACAGAACGGGGCTGGTAGTGCCAGGCTAAAGTTGTACTCATGAAGTTGGCAGAACATGGGTTCACCATATACAGGCCAGGTCTGTGCTGGTGACTCTGGTGGCTGGAAATGAAGAGAGCCATCCTGGAGAGACTGACAGTCTGTTCAGACACTGAGGTTTAGTCCACGTGTGAGGACCACAGAGTTGGGTACAGAAAGGGGAGAGACCTGGGCCTCAGACACTCAGTGGCCTTTCAACCAGAAATCCAGCAATCCAGTAGAGGCCTCTTTCCTGGGTGTGAAAACTCTCAGAGATGAGGCTTTTGGCTAGTGCTCATGCTGAGCCAATCATATTGGTGAGAAAGATGAAGTGCTCTGATTGGTCTGTTGGGGGGGGTCACATGCCCATCCTGAGCCAATTATATTGGTGGGAAAAATTAAGTCTCCTGATTGGCCCACCTGGGTCATGTGTCCCTTCTAGACCTATGTTGTGGGAAACGTACCTGCCAGAAGAACACAGCAGACTGTGACGGGAGCGGTGGAAGTCCCCTGCAGATAATCTGGGATGCCTATTTCCCGTTTAGCCCCTGCCTCAGTGTCGTCATCCTGTATCTCATACAGTGGGAGACAGATTGCTGGGTAATACTCCCAGGCCTCTCAATATGCTTGGTCAGTTTCCTCATGGTCTTTCCCTTCAGTTCCAGCAGAGAAACTGGACCAGAATGCCAGCCAGTATTCAGGCTCGGCTTGATGGCTGCAGGGACTGGTATAGCCTTGGACGCCTACTGTAATCTTTTCAACACTAGGAAAAGTAGGTCTTATTATTAGTGTGAATGAGATGGTTGCAATTGTCCAAGGTTGGCCAAGCGGCAGCCTGGGCAGGTCAGGGCTGGCTCTTCCCCATGTCTGGTCTGCCCTTCTGTTGGCCCAGAGACCGTTGGCAAAACCCCTGCCTCCATCTGTGACATATTCATGGGTTACAGTGGAGCTGGGTGGGGTTGAGGGATGAGAGGTGGAGGGTGGAAGGCAAGCTCATTGCCAAGGTGATGGAGCCCCGAACTGTGCTTCTTTTCCCAGGGCGGTCCCCAACACAGCCGTGCCCACAGGGGCCCGCCCACTGCAGAAAGCAGTGTGGACCAGACTATTACGTGAATGAGAATGGACGCTGCACGGCCTGCGTTAGCTGTCTGAGAGGTAAGAACCTTGTTCTGTCCCTGGAATGTGGGGGTGTCTCCGAGGAGAATCTGGGAAGTGGGGAGCATTGAGATTTATGCTTGAAATCTGAATTGGTCCCCTGGTGCCTCATTTTTACCAGTCTGGATTTGGGAATTGATACCAGCAGTCATCTTTGGTATCTGTACTTTTCAGAGAGACATAGTGTGTGCTCCTGGAAGGGAGGCCTCACATCTAGACTCTAGGGAGGACTGCTTTCTTAGTCCTGTTCCGCAGTGAGGAGTCAGGATTAATGAGGTGAAAGGGCTTCTCAGAGTTGCAAAACTTGGTAACGGTAAGAACAGAGTTTGAGCTTGTGGCCTGGCATCAAAAGCTGGACCCTTTCCTAAGACCATGATGCGCCCAGGAAGATTCTTGTGATAAGCTCTTCTCTTGTTACTTGATTATGGTGGGGTTTTTTTTGGTTTTGTGTGGGCTTGCGGGGAGGGGGTTAGGTTGGAAAAAAATGTTGAGATCTTGACCTAAACATATTTTAATAAGTGCTCAGTGTTAAATTTTTTTTAAAGGATATTTATTTATTTATTTATTTATGATTTGTTCTCTATTTATTCCTCAGTGGATGCACTCACCTTTCTTTACAAAAATCAATCCTCAGTAGCCCCCTTTTAGGTATATGCCATTCTCTTGATGCACAACTGAGGTGTCTTTCACTTTTTCTTTTTTTTAATTTTTAAAAAAATTTTTAGAAGAAGCATTTCATTACAGCTTTGACATACTCAATAACAGTTTCCAGAGCAAAGATACATCTCTTTCATAAGTGGCTATAAAATTTTTAGGTTCGCTGTTGAATTAATAGAGTTGTACAATATTGAACTCAGTATAAACCCTGTAAAACATAAAATTGATCATAGTTGAATTAATACAGTTATACAATACTGAACTCAGTATAAACCCTATAAGACATAAAATTGAATGAGGTTTTAACCTTTAAAAAAGATCTCCTTTTCATTTTAAAATATACTGTTTCTTACAGAAAGACTCATTGTTTTTGCTAATAACACTGAGATGTTGGCACACAAGTCTCTAATCTGTATGTATCTGATTATTACTAGTCATAATCGATTGCATTCGGATCCTTGGCACCTGTGTATGTCTATAAAGTCAATGGTAATGTTTATCACCTCTACTAATTAACGTGACATAAATTTTTACGCTTCTTCCTCAAATATAATTCATTTTTAAAAATTTGTTGATTTTGTGTGTGTGTGTGTGTGTGTGTGTGTGTGTGTGTGTATCACACAGAACATCCCAAACCATCTTATTCAACTATATACCCACTTCCCAGATGGCACCCTGGGAAGCCTCCCTCCCCCCACTAGTGCCCTTATACTCTGTTATCCCTGCTACTGTCTGCTATGGTATCAGCACCCCCAGCCATTCCCCACTACTTGTCCATCTGGTGAATCTAGTCAGCCTGCTAGAGGTCTTTGTTTTAGGAAGGTCAGCAGCAATCAAGTTGTCAATATTCCTTTACATAAGATTGGGGTCTGCTGTTCATTTTCCCAGTTCTGTGCTGGGTTACTATCTGGGAGTCCCTTTGGACACCCTGGCCAACAACTCAAAAGAAGGTATCGTCTATCTGGCATTGTTGCTTGTTATGTAGCCTTTAGCTATACATATGGACTCTTAAAAATTATATTGGCCCCTTTAATCTTTGGTTATACTTTCCTTTTGAGTGCTTATTTTTATTTTTATGTGTATGAGTATTCCACTGCATGTATATAGGCACACCACATGTATGCAGTGCCCAAGGCCAGAAGAAAGAGTTGGATCCCCTGGATTGGAGTTACAGATGGTTGTGAGCTGCCACGTGGGTGCGCCATGTGGGTGCTAGGAACTGAGCTAGGTTCCAGAGTCTAGCAGTTAAGTGTACTTAAGAGCCATCTCTCTAGCCTGTGTGTGTGTGTGTGTGTGTGTGTATTTTAATGTGTATTCTTTCTGGGACTGGAGAGATGATGTAGCATTTAAGAGCATTTGCTGCTCTTGCAGAGAATCCTAGTTTAGTTCCCAGCACCCATATCAGGTGACTCACAACTGCCTATAACTTTAAAGGATTAAGTGCCTGTTCTGGCCTCCAGGGGTGCACACACATATGCTGCAAACACACAGAAACACATAAATATAGATTTTTAAAAAAAAAACAAAACATGTATTCTGTTTATTGCAAACAAGGTTCTTTAAAAATTTTTTTGATTGGGCCCTGAGAGATGACTGACTGCTCTTGAAGAGGACTTAGGTTTGGTTCCCAGGACCCACATGGCAGCTAACAACTGTCAGTTAACTCCAGTTCCAAGGGATCCAACATCCTCTTCTGACCTCCGTGAGCATTGCACAACTCAGATGTACTTATATACATGCAGGAAGTATACCCAGACACATAAAATAAAAATTAAAAATAAAATATTTTTAAAACAAAATAAAAATTAAAAATAAAATATTTTTAAATTTTTATTTATTTATTTATTTTATGTGTATGAGTGTTTTGCCTGCATGTATGTATGGGTCACATGTATGCCTGGTGCCTGCAGAAGACAAAAGAGGGCATCAGATTCCCTGGAGCTGAGGTATAGATGGTTGTCAGCTGCCATGTGAGTGCTGGGAACTGAACCTGGGTCCTCTGCAAGAGCAGCCAGTGCCCCTAACCCCTGAGTCATCTCTCCAGTCCCCAAACTTCTTTATATATCTATTAACTCAAACTTGTTAATTGTGTTACTGAAATAACAACATGTATCCTTATTTATCATCTTGTATATTTATTTATTTACTTTTTGAGAGACACAGGAAACTCCTACCTCCAATATTCATTAGGCTTTCCTTGTGTTCTTTCTTTTTTTTGGAGACAGGCTCTCCCTGTAATCCTAGCAGGCCTGGAACTTGTTTTTGTTCAAGCTCTGCAGTGGGTCCGCAGGGATGTGGGCTGGGGGTGAAGGCTGCCCTTTGAGCCTGCCAATCACATGTCTGGCGCTCTGAGGTCACGTGGCCTCCTGCTAGCTCACTGGACCATCCTGGTGTGTTCCCTGGACCCTCACTGTTGGCCTCCCTTCCCTTCCCTGACTCTACTCTGTGTCCCTCAGACCTCGTGGAGAAGGTGCCGTGCTCCTGGAACTCCTCCCGTGTCTGTGAGTGCCGGCCGGGCATGTACTGCAGCACACAGGCTGCCAACTCCTGTGCCCGCTGTTCTCCTCATTCGACCTGTCCCACAGGGAAGGTCGTCAAGTTCCCAGGTGAGCATGTCCACCCCCAGCCCAGGTGCTGCTGTACCCACTATAGACCCCTGAATGCCTCCACCTCCTGCCTCGCCTCCCCACTGTGGGGCACATCAGGCTCCTCTCATGGTGCTGAGACATGCCCAGCACCCAGGGGCCTTCTGTGGCCCCTTCTCACACCTGGAGCCCTGCTGGCTAGAGATATTAGGTCCACCTGAGGTTTGAGGTGGGGGTGTTCTCTGGTGGTCCACATGTAAGCAGGAAGCCTTATGTCTCTGCCCTGGGAGTTTCCTGAGAAATCAGAACCAGCTTCCCTGCCTCAGAATTGAATGCTGGGTGTGAGAGGTGGGCCCCAGACTCAAGGCTGAGAAATTGGTTTTCTTTCCTAACTTGCTGTGTGACCTCAGGCAAGTTCTTTACCATCTCTGAGCTTCTAATTCCCTGGCAATATGAGGGAGAGGCTTATGATCAGTGATGGAATAAGAACCACAGATCCTCTCTGGGTCCCAGCAATAGTGCTGTGTAGGAGACCAGTCTGGGCTACACAGTGAGACCCTGTCTTAATGGGAGTAGGACATTGTTAGAAGGGAGGCCCAGGGAATGGGTGAATTGCAACAGGGTGCCCCAATTGGGGTCCCAGCAACAGAGTGTGCAGACAGGGACGCACCTGATGTAGACCCCGAGGGGGATCTTTTTCTTTACTCTGTGTCCTTGGTGATTCTAATTATGGGTTCCTGGCACTTCACATCTCACTGTCCTTAGGAGAGCTTTGTGCTGAGGGACCCAGAACCTCCAGGGCAAGGGGTCTGAGGTAGAGTGTTCAGGTCTGCTGGGATCTAGCAAAGGTTTGCTTCTGTGGGGTCAGTTCCCTCTGCTCTGGGCCTTGGTCTTCCAACCCATATAAAGAGGAGGTGTGACTTCAAGGCCTTGGGAACCTTTCCAGCTTGGAGACTCTTTGGTCTGAAAAACAGCCTTCAGTCTACCTGTTTAGCGAGCGCTGGCCCATACCTTTGCAGCTAGCACACCCAGGCTACCTGAGCGGTGTTTCTGAGACTGCCACGTGGGGGCGACAGAGGCCTTTCTTCTATGCCCAGACTGCCTTGTCCAGTGCAGCATCTCTGACCACATGTGGCGAGGAGCCCAGAGATGTGGAAATACAACTCATTACTTTTCTGTCCATTACCTGGTGAAAATAGGATGTTGTGTTGGCATGTTATGGCTTTTTGAGATAGAATCTCATTCTGTAGCCCAGGTATTAGAGACGTGAGCCACTATGCCCAGCTAATATTTTCCATATATTGGGTTAAATAAATACTGTGTGCATGTGTGTGCATATTTTCACATGTGTGTTACCAGGTATTACACCTAAGTCCTCACATGTTATGCAAGCATTCTACCACTAAGCAACACCAATAGCCAAAATACATACATTCATTTAATTAAAATTAATTTATTCCTTCATTTATCTTTTAAGACCGACTCTTACTCTGTAGCCCAGGTTGGATTTGAACTTGTGATCCTCCTGCATTAGCTTCGTGAATGGTGAGATTACAGGCATGTGCCGCCATACCCAGCCACACAGCTTTTTTTTTTGAGGGAGAGAGGGTCTCCTGTATCTCAGACTGGCCTCAAACTCACTATGTAGCTGAATGTGGTCTTGAACTTCTGGTCTTATTTTTATCTCCATTCCTAGTGCTGGGATTACAGTCAAGCACCACCACACCCCATTTTATGCAGTGCTGGGCATGGGACCCAGGACTTTGTGCATGTGAGGCAAGTACTCTATCAACCGAGCTACATCCCCAGTCCTTATTTACCATTTGTTTAAATGTTTATAAAGGATTTTATTTACAGATATGTGTGTTCTTGCTTGTCTGTATGTGCACCATGTGAGTGCAGGTGCCTGCGGAGGACAGAGCAGGTGTCAGAACCCTTGGAACTGCAGTTACAGGCGTCTGTGAGACGTTGATGTGGGTGCTGGGAACTGAACCAGGATCCTCTGCAAGAGCAGAAAGTGCTCTTAGCCGCTGAGCCATCTCTCCAGCCCTGCCTTATTTATTTTTACTTTCTACTTTTTATTTTTTTGATCTTTTTGAGACAAGTTCTCCCTGTAGCCCCAGCTGGCCTGGACCTCACTATGTAGACCTTGAACTCACAGAGATCCACCTGCCTCTGCTTCTCAAGTGCTGGGATTAAAGGCACATACCACCACACCTGACTTTATTTACCTGTTAAAGAAAAGATTTATTTTTATTTTTTATGTGTATGAATCCTTGCCAACATGTATGTATGTAATCACATGCATGCCTGGTGCCCACAAAGGCAAAAAGAGGACATTGGGTCCCCTGGAACTAGAGTTACAGGTGGTTGTTAGCTGCCTTGTGGGTGCTGGAAACCTAACCCAGGTCCTCTGCAAGAGCAGCCAGTGTTCTTAACCACTGAGCCATCTCTCCAGCCCTGGTTTATTGAACTGAATTTGGCATAGTGATTCACGACACATTTGTGCAGCACTGCTCCACAGGGGCCCTGCTGTGGCCACCAGACCCTCCCTCCTCAGCCTCTCTAACTGGATTCTCCCTGGGAGTTGCTCCCAATGCTGTCAGCTTTCCAGGTGTGAAATGGAAAGTAATTTCTATTTCAGTGTGGCTCATGGCTAACCTTCCACTGAAAACTGTCATAGACCTTCTCCGGAAGCGTCCAATGTTACCAGGCAGATTCCATCAGCTTCTTTCTGTAACTGAGGCCTTTGACACCCAGAGATAGAGTTGGTGGACCAGTGGCTCAAGAACACAGAGCAAGTTCTCTTTGAGCTGGGATTGGATGCTCAGCTCCAGACCCTGCCGATGTGCGAGTTGGCCTTGCCCAGGCTCCCCTCCGTGGAAAATTTCCAGGAATCATCCCACCCGCATAGGCCTCTTTCTCAGTGGTGAGACTGGACACACCACTTGTTGAGTGCTTACTGTCTGTCACACAGTACGGCAGACACATTATTGACACTGCTGTTTATCTAGACAACAGGCTTGTGAAGACTATTATAATACCTTGACTGCCTGGCTCAGTAGAGATGTGGTAGAGGTGGAGGGCAAGCCCAGGGGCATCTGATGGGCACCTGTGTGTGTTTCTGCTCCACTCTGTTTATACCCAATGTTCCTCAGGACTCTTTGGGTCTTGAATAAAATCTCCAGTGTTTTGGCCCGTGTAACTGTGGTGTGGTGAGGATAGCTCTGAGTGGCTTCAGGCATGGCTGGGTCCAGGGGCTCTGTCTTTTCCCATCTCTCATTTCTGTCTCTGTTGGTTTGTCTCTGAGCTGGTAAGCAACCAGCAACTGTAGGGTCCACTTCCTGATCAATCCCAGTGGAGGGATGGCTTCTCCTAACTCTGGAGGGAGCAGATGCTGGGAAAAGCCACCATCTCCCCATCCACAATCCCACTTGTGATGGTGACACTTACATTCCTGGGGATTCTGGGCTCCTCAGTGTCACTTTGGAAGCCACTGCTGTCCTCTCTTGCAGGCACAGCAGAGAAGGACACTGAGTGCGAGTGGCCTTCCCCAGGGACCCGTTCTGATTGCACCAACCCAGAAGACTGCGAGATACTTACCAGGTGACTCCTGGCCTCTTCCCTGCTCCTCTCTGACCTTTGGCTGGGGCTGCCTTATCTCTAGGATAAGATGCACATGAGGTGCATCTGGGTAGGGTCAGCCCAGGGTAACAGGACCCCTGAGTGGTTCTCTGCCAACCTCACAGTCATCTGAGGCCCTGCAGTGTGTCCAGCCCTTCCCAGTACACACAGGAGACTCAGAAGGCCTAGGGAATACAGCCCTTGTTCCCAGGAGCTTGTAGTAGAGCCTGTAGCAGCTGAGGCAGGAGTCTGCAGACCCTTTCTCCATAGAAACCATTATCTTCAAGTCCAGACCTCCCTGGCCCCAGGGAGAGAATCATCAGACTTATGCTGGCTTCTCCTCCAGCAGGGCCACTCCCCAGGCCACACCTACCCCAGTTACCGCCAGCATCAGGATCATGCAGCCAGGAGAGGGCATCCACCTTTCGCAGGAAGACACTACTGGACTGTTGAGGGCTCCCAAGTCTCCCTCTTCCCCAGAAAGGAAACCCGGTCCAGATCCAGGTATGTCCACTTGAAGCTGGGGCAATCTCCAGGGTGGTGATGGAGGGAGCCCGGGTGTGGCCTTGAGCTGCGGCCTTGCCCAGTGAGAACAGAGTGGGTCTCCAGGATACAGCTCCTGGGGATGAAGCCTAAAGACCAGAGCCCCTGGAAGGGCTTTCTCACCTCCAGCATTTCTGAGTGTCCTGTGTGCCAGGTGTTGGGTAAGGTGCTGGGTGTCCCGCTCTGTGCCCAGGATGCTTGGGACAGAGCAGGTAGGCCTTGCCCATGGTCCTCACCTACTCTGTGGTTCCTATGGCTGAACATCCAGCTGCCATTTCATTCTCTGCTGCTGAGCAACCTGTACTGTGCACATGCACAGCAACTGTCTTCATTGATTAGAAGTTTGGGGCTATGATAAATAATGAATGAATCTGTGTGTATGTAGGGTGTGTGTATATATGTGTGCAGGTGTGCATGCATGCCTGTGAGGAGGCCAGAGATCAACGTTGGATGTTGTTCTTTAGGAGCTATCTGCTGTGTTGTTTAAGATATGGTCCCTCTTTGGCCTGGAGCTCATCAATTAGACTAGGCTGGCTTGGCCACTGAGCCCCCGGGACCTGCCCATCTTGTCCTCCCCAGCACTGGGATTACAAGTATGTGCACCATGCCTGGCTTTTTATGTGGGTACTGGGGACTGATCTTGGATCTTATATGTGGCAAACACATTATAGACTGAGCCATCTTCTCTAGTCTGAAACCATGAATCTTTGTGTGACTATGATACTGCTGTTCCTACCTTTTTTTTTTTTTTTTTTTTTGAGACAGGGTCTCCCTGCAGCCCCAACTGGCCTGGAACTTACTATGTAGACCAGGATGACCTTGAACTCAGAGATCTGCCTGCCTCTGCCTCCCAAGGGCTGGGATTAAAGGTGTGCCACCACACCAGACCTTGATTTTTTTTTGGTCCTTTTGAAGCAGGGTCTCCCTGTAGCCCCAGCTGTCCTGGAACTCATTATGTAGACCAGGCTGGCCTTGAACTCACAGAGATTCACCTGCCTCTGCCTCCCAAGTGCTGGGACTACAAGCCTGTGCCACCACACCCAGCGATTTTTTTTTTTTTTAACTGTAGGTCTTCTGGTGATTTTAGCCTCAAGCCCTTCCTCTGTGGTGGTGATCAGTCTCCTGGGCCCTTCACATTCCTTCTGCCACAGCTTTTGGGGGAAATGTTAATTATTTTCCTGTGTTTTGTTTGTTTTGGGGAATAGGGTTTCTTGCTATATAGCATTAACTGACCTGAAATTCACTAGGTAGCCCAGGCTGTCCTCAAACTTGCAGCAATCCTCCTACTTCAGTGTCTAAGTGCCAGGATTACAAACGTGTGCCACCAGGCCCTGCTACTCTCTAGGTATTTAAGTTCTCTAAACAATGTGGGTTTTTTTTTGTAAATATCTTTATATCTTTATTTTTCAGATTTAGAGGTATTTACTGTTTCTGATGATGACATTTCAACATTTCACATTCTGACTTGTTGCTATTATTTTGAACCAAGTGAAACTGCCAATATTTGATTATTTTTTTAACCTTGAAAAAAAAGTTCTGTATTGGGTGTGGTACACACATACCTTTAATCCCAGGCAGGTGATCTCTGTGACACTGAGGCCAGCCTCAATGCACATAGGAAGTTCCAGACCAGCTGAGGCTTCAGGGAGGCCCTGTCTCATGACAAACAAACATTCCCGTAATTCATATGGCACAACCTAATATGCAGGTTACAGTGACATTTAGCTTTCCATCTCTGTGACAAAATATACCTGTTTTGATCAACTTTATAAGGAAGAAGGTTTCTTTTTAGCTCATAGTTTTGAAGGTGTCTATCTACAGCTGGCCAGGCCTGTGTCAAGGCAGCCAGAAAGCAAAGAGAGAGGAAGAGGAGGGGCAGAGTGCCTTTCAGGACATGCTCCTAATGACCTCACTTCCTTCCACTGGGTTCTGTGTCCTAAAGTTCCATCACCTTCCAGTAGCACCAGGGGCTGGAGCAAAGCTTTCAAAACATGGACCCTTATGGTAAAGATTCCAGCACCACACAAACCAGGCATGGTGGTACATGGCTGTTATCCCAGCACTCAGGAAATGGGAGTGGGAGGATCAGAAGTTCAAGGTCACTCTTCTCTACATAGTTAGTTAGAAGGCAGTCTGGAATATATGAGACCCTTTCTCAAAAAAAAAACAAACAAAAAAAAAAAAACTGGGGCTGGAGAGATGGCGCAGCAGTTAGGAGCACTGACTGTTCTTGCAAAGGAGCCAGATTCAGTTCCCCAGCACCCACACGGTAACTAACAACTGTCCATAAGTCCAGTTCCAGGGGATCTTATGCTGTCTTCCGGCTGCCACAGGCACTACACCACATGGGTGCATTTACATACATGAAGGCAATACATTCATACACAGAAGTTAAAAATAAAAATAATAAATTAATAATATGGGCGTGTGGTGGTGCATACCTTTAATCCCAGCCCTTGGGAGGCAAAGGCAGATGGATCTCTGAGTTCGAGGCCAGCCTGGTCTACATAGTGAGTTCCTGGCCAGCTGGGGCTACAGGGAGATCCTGTCTCAAAAAGACCAAAAGGGAAAAAAAAAGCCCCCCACTGTAACAGAGTTCACTGTTAAACTCTCCTGCTGATGCCAGGGCCCTGCAGGTTTTCATGGTTTTTCTGTGCTCTGTCTCCCTTGACATCTTCATAGAAAACAAAGACCTTGTCTGCGTCTTCCTTTGTGACCCTTATCACTTACTCCTCTTCCCTCTCTCTGTACCTTAGCATTGCTAGAGGCGCCTGGGCCACACTGAATAGAGCTGTTGGTCGTGTACACCCAGCCCTGGCGCCAAGCTCACCAAGCATGCTACTATTAAAGTTGTGTGTGTGTTTCTGTATGTATGTACGTGTGTGTGTGTGTGTGTGTGTGCATGTATGTGGAGGCCAGAGGTCAACCTCAGAGGTCATTCTTTTGAGACAGGATCTCTTTTTTAGCCTGTAGTTCACTGGTTACGCTGGCCAGCAAGTGAGCCCCATGGATCCACCTGTCTTTACCTCCTTTGAGCTGAGGGGCTCTTCACAATACCTGGCCTTTTATTTTCATTTTTATTTTTAAAATATCTAATTATTTTTATTTTATGTGTATGAGTGTATTGCCTGCATGTGTGCACCTGTGTTGTGCAATACCCAAGGCGGCCAGAAGAGGGCATCAGAACTGGAGTTATGAATTGTTGTTAGTTGCCATGTGGGTGCTGGGAATCAAACCAGCATCCTCTGCAAGAGCAGCCAGTGCTTTCAACTGCTGAGCCATCTCTCAAGCCCCATAAAATATTTTTTAAAAGTGAGGCCTGGGGCTGGAGAGATGGCTCAGCGGTTAAGAGCATGGGCTGCTCTTGCAGAGGACCTGGGTTCGATTCCCAGCACCCACATGGTGGCTACAAACCATCCTTAACTTCAGTTCCAGGGGACTCTGAAGCCCTCTTCTGACCTCCATTGCATTGCATGACACGGATGCACTCACATGCATGCAGGAAATACACTCATACACATAAAATAAAAATTATATTTAAAATTTTTATGTGTATGAATATATTACCTGCATGTATATAGGTGTACCTGTGTTGTGCAATACCCATGGAGGTCAGAAGAGGGCATCATATTCCTTGGAATTGGAGTTAAAGATGATTGCTAGCCATCATGTGGGTGCTGGGAATCAAACCTGGGTCCTTTGCAAGAACAGCCAAGGTTCTTAACCGCTGAGCCATCTCTCCAGCCCTCACACCTGACTTTTTTACATGGAGATCAAACTCAGGTCTTCATGCTTTCCTAGAAAGCACTTCATTTACTGAGCTGTGTCCCCAGCCCTGCTACCAAAGTTTTCACCAGGAATGTGACCTCCCTGGTGGTGACACTGGGAGGGGCTGGCACAGTGATCATGGTGTGTCAGAGGGGAGAGATAGGAGGCCGGTGCAGTTGAGAGGCAGTTGGCACTCTTTGCTGTGTGGCCTTAGATATATTTCTTCCTTCTCTGGGCCTCGGGAGAGGTGGGGATGGTCTGACATGGGAGGAGTCCAGGAGCTGACTTTGTCCCCAGAGGCTTCGAAGATGGGGGAGGAGGATCCTTTGTCCAGGAGGCCCAGCCCCGGGTGTCTGTTTTTTTCTTCACAGGACTATCTCTTCCACCGCTGTGTCTGCAGGGGCCTGCCAATTGTAGGCCACCCTGTGAGCCTGACTACTACCTGGATGAGGCGGGCCTCTGCAGGGCCTGTGCAAGCTGTTCTCGAGGTGAGGGCCTCCTCCCTTAGGTGTGGGTGGGGCATCTCGGAGCAGAGGGAATCTGGAGGTGAGGAAACCTGTCTGTGGTGCTGGCTGCTTGGCCCTCCAGAGCCTCAGTTCATTTCTCTGGTACGTACGTATGTATGTATGTATGTATGTATGCATGCATGTATGTATGTATGTATTATTTATTCATTCATTTATTTATTTTTATTTTTTGGTCTTTTTGAGACAGGGTCTCTCTGTAGCCCCAATTGGCCTGGAACTCACTATGTAGACCAGGCTGGCCTTGAACTCACAGAAATCCACCTGCCTCTGCCTCCCGAGTGCTGGGATTAAAGGTGAGCACCACCATGCCTTTTGTTTTTTTTGGTTTAAAGATTTATTTATTTCTTTTTTTTCTTTTTTCTTTTTAATTAGAAGAAGCATTTCATTACAACAGCATTAACCTATTAAATAACATTTTTCTGAGCTAGGGTACATCTCTTTCAAAATTGGCTGTACATTT